GTGTCCTCAGTCAGTAAGACAGTCAATCGATCACATCATCACCATAGTTTGCAATCAACAATTTATTCGACCAGTCAATCAATCGACCAATGTAGCTTTCAAACACACTACACGACGCTTGGCCAGTTAGCCAATCAATTCATCAATTCATCCATTCATCTGTTGGTGTACGGGTAATCAATCATGTGATTTCCAAATGCACAAACACACAAACACACACACACACACCATTCTATCAGTCGATGAGCATGTGAAAGCCGATTGTCAACTATGCACATGGTCATGAAACTGGAGATTGGGAGAGGTGAGTCCACATCAGTACTATCCACCTCTCGTCATCTGCCTCATCTGCAATTATCGTCATCACCATCACCATCACCATCGCTCATCATACGTCATCACGTACTATGTCACTGAATCGTCACTGTGTACTCGCCGTTCGACTAGTATGTCGACGAACACCTGACCGTTTGTCCTAGTCCACTGACTGTGTTGTTAGACTATGGTGAGGAGGAGTTGTGTACAGTTGATCAGTATGTCAACCAATAGAGGATTTGAGTAATGAGCAGGTTGATAAGCGCGAGATACTATGTTGCGTTTGATTCGATGTGAGTTTCCGTCTATCTGGCCATCTGAGAGTTTGTTCATGAATGCAAGTGTGTAGTGTTAGTTGTTGTCGGTAGTGTATGAGTGAGTGAGAGTGTGTGTTGTGTGAGTGTTGACGTGTATTCAGTGCTGAAAATCTGAGTTGGTGGTTGAGTTTGGCTTAGTTTGGAGTGTGTTGAGTGTGGTGACATTGACGTGCTCCTCGATAGTATAGTGGTTAGTATCTCCGCCTGTCACGTGGAAGGCCCGGGTTCGATTCCCGGTCGAGGAGTCGGCTTTTACTTCACACACACACACACACACACAACACACACACACTCACACAATCGTCACTGTCTCATTCAACGTTGTCCACTCCTAGTCCACTGCATCGTATCCACTCCACTACAAACAAATATCGCGTCAATTCCGTTCGACGCACCAACATCCCCTACCTCTCATCACTGTCCCATCGGTAACCGGAACCATTCGCTCACCAATCGACTACTTCCAAACAGTACTGACACACTCACAATTCACACATTTGCACGACATGCACCATTCGGAATTGCAACAGGCTTTCAGTTAGGCGGATGGACAAGATCAAAATATACTGGATCATCTGACTGATTGACTCTGAACACATCCACACACAGATCACGTCACCTGCATTCGAGCTGAAACGTGCAAGTTGTCTGTTACAACGAATGTGCGATTTCAAGAGTGTGAACGATCACTGACAAATGGGTGAGTGGATGCAATGATGAGGAAGCATTGACCAATAGACAAATACCAAGCTTTCCAGTGTAAGATGGAGGTTGGAAAGTGCGATGTGACAGTGTCGGCATGTGGATGTGGTTCTGTGTGAGTGTGCTCCGTGATGTGTGGTATTGGTGGAGTGGACTGACAGGAAGTATGATTGTGTGTTGAAGTGACTGTGTTTGTGTAAGTTCGGTTGAGTCCGATGTACACTGTGTGTATGTTAGGAGACAGTGTGTGGTGACTGTGTAGGGTGGTATGGTGTTGTGGTGTGACGAGCTGCCAAAAGCTGCTGCCCCCAGGGAGGATCGAACTCCCGACCCCTGGTTTACAAGACCAGTGCTCTGACCACTGAGCTATGGAGGCCGACTAGACTCCTACACAACACTACATCCACCATTCACTCACTCTTACAATCCACAGTCATACATCTCGTCCACCCACTGAACCACACATCAATTTCGCCACAGCATCAAACACTCTACAAACACACAAGTGTCCTCAGTCAGTAAGACAGTCAATCGATCACATCATCACCATAGTTTGCAATCAACAATTTATTCGACCAGTCAATCAATCGACCAATGTAGCTTTCAAACACACTACACGACGCTTGGCCAGTTAGCCAATCAATTCATCAATTCATCCATTCATCTGTCTGGTGTACGGGTAATCAATCATGTGATTTCCAAATGCACAAACACACAACACACACACACACCATTCTATCAGTCGATGAGCATGTGAAAGCCGATTGTCAACTATGCACATGGTCATGAAATTGGAGATTGGGAGAGGTGAGTCCACATCAGTACTATCCACATCTCGTCATCTGCCTCATCTGCAATTATCACCATCACCTTCACCATCACCATCGCTCATCATACGTCATCACGTACTATGTCACTGAATCGTCACTGTGTACTCGCCGTTCGACTAGTATGTCGACGAACACCTGACCGTTTGTCCTAGTCCACTGACTGTGTTGTTAGACTATGGTGAGGAGGAGTTGTGTACAGGTGATCAGTATGTCAACCAATAGAGGATTTGAGTAATGAGCAGGTTGATAAGCGCGAGATACTATGTTGCGTTTGATTCGATGTGAGTTTCCGTCTATCTGGCCATCTGAGAGTTTGTTCATGAATGCAAGTGTGTAGTGTTAGTTGTTGTCGGTAGTGTATGAGTGAGTGAGAGTGTGTGTTGTGTGAGTGTTGACGTGTATTCAGTGCTGAAAATCTGAGTTGGTGGTTGAGTTTGGCTTAGTTTGGAGTGTGTTGAGTGTGGTGACATTGACGTGCTCCTCGATAGTATAGTGGTTAGTATCTCCGCCTGTCACGTGGAAGGCCCGGGTTCGATTCCCGGTCGAGGAGTCGGCTTTTACTTCACACACACACATCACACACACACAACACACACACACTCACACAATCGTCACTGTCTCATTCAACGTTGTCCACTCCTAGTCCACTGCATTGCATCCACTCCACTACAAACAAATATCGCGTCAATTCCGTTCGACGCACCAACATCCCCTACCTCTCATCACTGTCCCATCGGTAACCGGAACCATTCGCTCACCAATCGACTACTTCCAAACAGTACTGACACACTCACAATTCACACATTTGCACGACATGCACCATTCGGAATTACAACAGGCTTTCAGTTAGGCGGATGGACAAGATCAAAATATACTGGATCATCTGACTGATTGACTCTGAACACATCCACACACAGATCACGTCACCTGCATTCGAGCTGAAACGTGCAAGTTGTCTGTTACAACGAATGTGCGATTTCAAGAGTGTGAACGATCACTGACAAATGGGTGAGTGGATGCAATGATGAGGAAGCATTGACCAATAGACAAATACCAAGCTTTCCAGTGTAAGATGGAGGTTGGAAAGTGCGATGTGACAGTGTCGGCATGTGGATGTGGTTCTGTGTGAGTGTGCTCCGTGATGTGTGGTATTGGTGGAGTGGACTGACAGGAAGTATGATTGTGTGTTGAAGTGACTGTGTTTGTGTAAGTTCGGTTGAGTCCGATGTACACTGTGTGTATGTTAGGAGACAGTGTGTGGTGACTGTGTAGGGTGGTATGGTGTTGTGGTGTGACGAGCTGCCAAAAGCTGCTGCCCCCAGGGAGGATCGAACTCCCGACCCCTGGTTTACAAGACCAGTGCTCTGACCACTGAGCTATGGAGGCCGACTAGACTCCTACACAACACTACATCCACCATTCACTCACTCTTACAATCCACAGTCATACATCTCGTCCACCCACTGAACCACACATCAATTTCGCCACAGCATCAAACACTCTACAAACACACAAGTGTCCTCAGTCAGTAAGACAGTCAATCGATCACATCATCACCATAGTTTGCAATCAACAATTTATTCGACCAGTCAATCAATCGACCAATGTAGCTTTCAAACACACTACACGACGCTTGGCCAGTTAGCCAATCAATTCATCAATTCATCCATTCATCTGTTGGTGTACGGGTAATCAATCATGTGATTTCCAAATGCACAAACACACAAACACACACACACACACCATTCTATCAGTCGATGAGCATGTGAAAGCCGATTGTCAACTATGCACATGGTCATGAAACTGGAGATTGGGAGAGGTGAGTCCACATCAGTACTATCCACATCTCGTCATCTGCCTCATCTGCAATTATCACCATCACCATCACCATCACCATCGCTCATCATACGTCATCACGTACTATGTCACTGAATCGTCACTGTGTACTCGCCGTTCGACTAGTATGTCGACGAACACCTGACCGTTTGTCCTAGTCCACTGACTGTGTTGTTAGACTATGGTGAGGAGGAGTTGTGTACAGGTGATCAGTATGTCAACCAATAGAGGATTTGAGTAATGAGCAGGTTGATAAGCGCGAGATACTATGTTGCGTTTGATTCGATGTGAGTTTCCGTCTATCTGGCCATCTGAGAGTTTGTTCATGAATGCAAGTGTGTAGTGTTAGTTGTTGTCGGTAGTGTATGAGTGAGTGAGAGTGTGTGTTGTGTGAGTGTTGACGTGTATTCAGTGCTGAAAATCTGAGTTGGTGGTTGAGTTTGGCTTAGTTTGGAGTGTGTTGAGTGTGGTGACATTGACGTGCTCCTCGATAGTATAGTGGTTAGTATCTCCGCCTGTCACGTGGAAGGCCCGGGTTCGATTCCCGGTCGAGGAGTCGGCTTTTACTTCACACACACACTCACACATTCGTCACTGTCTCATTCAACGTTGTCCACTCCTAGTCACGTGGAAGGCCGGGGTTGAATTCACGTTTGAAGATTCACGGTTTGGTTTACATATGATATAACACACACATATAGTTTTGTCACTTAACATGAGTGGTTTCTCTAATATCAGCAAAGGAAGTTTTTCTTAGGTTAAAGTGCAGTCTATATTTATAAACTTATAAATTGTATGTAGTATTTGAGAAAATATAACTTTATTTTACTTCGGCACAGTTGACGCATATATTGTACATTATAATTCAATGAGAAGTTTAATATATACAGGATAGAATATGGGAAATGAATGTTATTGGAATTATAAGATGAAAGACATTATATTTATGGCATAATATTTATAATAGATCATACTGTAGAATATTTCTGTTAGAGGTAATTCATTTCTTAGACACTGAACCATTGTATTTATTGTGGTTTTTGATACGATTACGTAATGTGAATGTAATACACTATGTAAACAAACATGAAAAACAGAACCAAAGTATTAGCATGTTTTCTTATCAATATGAATAAATACGTAGTATTTTAAAAAGAAAATGAGGCGAGACTCTAATTTACAGAAGAGCCAGTCAGAAGCACTCGAGAGATTTCAAGGTCACGGCGCCGACTTCAGTGCTTAATGCTAACGTACGATCGGTTCACAGTGGATTTTATACAAAACGTGATAACTGAGCGGCTATAACTAATAAAACGGCGAGTCTACAATTTGTGGACGAATCAATCAGGTATAAGATAACGGATCTTGGATTTTGGCGTGAAAGCCTTTAATCCATTTGGTTAAATAGATTTTTGACATTATAGTTGATGTCAGTTCATGATGAAAATCCTAACTAAGGCAAATCATGACAATTATTGCGAACTGGATAATTAAAGCACCAGTAACACTGGGTGCAGCTAGGTACAACAATATATACGGATGTTTGGAGAGCGTACAGACTCATACATAGGTTTGGTTATGTGCATTGTGTCGTTATCCACAAGCGGCATTTTGTGTATTCAACAACCGGAGTACACAAAAACAATGTTGAAGCTATGTGGTCGAGGCTGAAGTAGTTTTTGCGAACATATCATAACTTCAAAGGCCGACTATTATGTAATCATATGGATGATTTCCTCTACTGCATCCATTACGATTTTAGAACCTCTTTCTGACTCCGAAAAGTCTTTGAACCACGTATGGGAATTGTATCCACTCTATTTACGGTTCTTAAGTTATGTTCAGTCTATTAATTACTGTCCCCCTCATTCACAGCCACTTTTTGGGCTTATTTGTGTACACATGTTATTTCTATTTTATGGTGCGTTGCGGTGTGTCTGGTTGATATATAAACCGAGTATGTCTGAAATAAACGATTCAATCAGATTCGATTACGATTCGATTCATATTACGGAAGCTGGTATTATGTTCTGGATTCAAGTGGAACGGCTAGGAGGACATAAGACCAATAAGGACGCTAAAACTGTTCATACCGGTTGAACGTCATTGGTTTGGCATAGTGCGAAGATTGTATAAGCCGTATTCTGATTGGTCGATAAGTCGCGTGATAGAAAAGTCAGACATCAAGATCATAACATGAAAGATGTTGCAAACTTAGCAATTCTTATGCTAGTAGCTAGTGAACAATTGTTGTGAAGAAAAATTGGAACGGTTTAGTTTACCAAACCGATGGTAAACATGTGTTAACCTATTGATTAGTGAAGTTCATCAATAAGTCTCTCGTTCGAAACCCACTCCATTTTATACTATTCAGATGACTAAATATTGTTACTAGCCATCTTACATAGATAACATATATATATACTAAAGAGTAGTAACTGGTAAAACAACAGAAAACAAATACAAATTAATAATCACCTATGATTATAAAAGCTACAAAAATATACCAAATGTACATGTTTGTAACCGATTCAGTGAGACTACAATTTATGGATGACCTTTGAGCAACGCTGGAGTGACCTCGAGAGTGTTCACCTAATAAACGGTACCAAATGAAGGTTATAAACCAGTGTGAAGAATTGGAATTATGATTTATAGTTGATAGTTAGCGGTTAAGAATTAGATTTCAGGATTTTCATCACGAACTGACATCATCTATCGTGTCTAAACTCTATTTATCTAAATGGATGAGTGAATTTCGCGCCGAAATCCGAGACCTATTTAACTTATACCTGATTGGTTTATCCATAAATTATAGTCTCACCGTTAATTCAATAAATTTTATACCTGATCATCGAAAAGATCCATCAGTTTTTGTTGTCCAATTATGATACCATCAGATTTAAGCATATTATGTACAACATCGAATTCTAATGGCTGAAAAGAAACCTTATTATCAATATTATTTCAATTACCGTATAAGTTAAAATATTCATGTATAGATTGGGATTATTCTTTAAATAATGTAATACAATTTGATTTATATTACCCTATAATGTAAGGAAAGTAAACAGAACAAAATTGAATAGATTGAATATAGTAAGAAGAGAGAGTAACGTATAACACCTAATAGTTACGTATTGTTTGTTGGTATCTAACAAACACTAACAGACAACAGATAACCCAATAGTTTAGTGGATTATACAATAATATTTAAAGTGATCAATGTTAGATCTGACTGTTAATATAAAAATCAACACTTAGATGACATTCAAATCGGATGTTGTGATGTTGTGGGATATTTCAATACTTGAGATCATGAGTCAATTGAAGCTAGACTACAATGGAAAACCTGAAAGCACTGGACAGTTGTTTTACACTATTGTGGGACTCTTCAATTGTGTGCATTCATGATCCCACACAGCGAGATTCGAACCAAAGACCTATCAGTCTCGCATGTGAACGCTTAACTTCTAGACTACTAAGTCGTCCGGCATCCAACGGTATGAACGTCTAACTTCAACCAATCCATGAAATTGCGCGATCATCTTCCATTATACTGAGGTAGATACCTGACTCTACCTGACACGGATTGACGTTTGCACTTGAGACTGAGGGTTCTGGGTTCGAATCCCGCGAGGCGATATCGTGAATGCGCACTGCTGAGGAGAGCCACAATAAAACGAAACGGTAATCCAGTGCTTTCAGATTTTCAATGGTGATCTAACATCAATCAGTTCATGATCTTAATCAATAATAAAACTACATATTTCTTCACAAGATCCAAATAAGAAATATTAGGAGAGAATAGCTGAATGTCCTAAATTGACTATGACCTTTTTTAGTCAATTGTAATTGTCTCTGTTATCTTTATTCGCAAATCTTTGTATTATTATCCCTCGAGCAGGATCGTGGATATGCACCGCTGAGGAGTCCCACAATAGGACGAAACAACCGTCTAGTGTTTTCAGGTTTTCAATAAAATGATCTAACATTAATCAGTTCATGATCTCAATCAAAACTTAATAATCTTCACAATCCTTATACTGATGATTATAATGTCATTTAATCAGTTTAAACATTGAATAATACAAAAGAAAATATTTATAATAATAACTATAAATACCTTGATTTTATTGACTTGTTTTTGACTTAGTTTTTTCAAATCTTGATTCTTTGAATGAAAGAGTTCATCCGATGAAATCATTTCAGAATTCAATAAGTTTTGTAATTCATTTGAATGAGTTGAAGTGGATAATAATAATTCTTGTTGAACAATACTATCACTATCACCATTATTATTATTATTATTATTACTATTATCAGTATCATCTTTATAACGTATGGGCAGTAATGAGACATTATTTACATTATTTGAAACATTTAATATCATCTTTTTAGATCTATCTAATCTATTATTACATTTCTTTTCTTTATCTATACAGTTTTCTTGTAATTGTCTAGCATTATTGTACTTCACTGATTCAATTCGTTTGTTAGACATTAAATGATTCTGTTCATCTTCTTCATCTATATTGACAATTTCGGGGGGGGGGGGGCGTGACAAAAAGCAATAAATAGAAACAGTGACTTAGTTTAAACATTAAATACAATTAGTAAATAATAATCACGAACTGATGTTGATGAAATCTTTATTGAAAACCTGGAAGCATTGAGATATCTGTTTTGTCCCAATGTGAGATTCTTCAATAGTGAGCAGTTTCTGTAGTTCTAGTAAGTATCCGTGACTAGTGGAGTTTAACTATGTCAGATGTGAGAATTATCGACACCAGACAATGGAACGGTGATTGCGAAATATCACGGATTGTTTGGATTTTAACATTAACACCGTTGAATGCTGATGCGTTAGTTTGGGTTTAGATTTTAAGGTACAAGATCGTGGATGAGCCCTAAACTAGAACGAAACGTCCATCGAGTGTTTTCAGGTTCTAATTGTGATCTAACCACGATCAGTTCGTGAGAATTTTGTAGTCTTCACCAAATCCCATACTGAGAAATAATTCTTTATCAAGAACAAATGAAACCAAGGGGTTGCTACACATTCATTTATCCTAATATAAAACATTTATCCATAAATGGCACTGAACAACGGTTGTACTATACATTGTGGACTGATTAAAGCTGTGGACGTAAAACGTTGGATTTAAATTCAGTTTATCAAAAACTGATGTACTTGATGTGAAAAATAGTGTTTTTAGTGGGTTTTAGTTACACACTGGTAACAAGTTTTATGCTAGAGTGAAACAGTTGCACAAATATTTGAAATACACGATCTGAAACCTGAAAGCCTAAGGTTCGATCCCATGTGGGATTGTGAGCGAAGACAATTGTAAAGTCTACAGCACCCCTCTTACAATTAGTTTTATTTACAGTTAATTTGTCGAGCCCTTCAATTAACTTATTTAACAGACAGTGTTATTCGAACAGTAACAATTTGTCCATTTTTGTATTATTATTATATCCTGTCCATATGAACATGTATGCTTGATCACAAGTGACAGCTTACGCACATATCTCTCTCTAGCTTAAATGTTAGTTGTTCAAATATCGCTCGATGGATTATATATATATATATATATATATAATATATATATATATATATATATATATATATATATATATATATATATATATATATGCTTGAAACTTAATAATTGCTTCACTTTGCTTTGATTCGTTTCGATTCTGAATCCGTCTAAATATTCGCTTGCTTGTGCACATTAGCCTTTTTGCTCAAATATGCCTGGTGTGTTTGTAATTTGTTATCTGCGCCATCCAATAATAAATTATAGTCTGCGCTTCGTATTGCCTTCTGAATTCATACCCCATTGGAATTTATTTAATTACAGTTATCAGGGTGATTGATAAGTTAAACCTAATGAATTATCTCGAAGCCAAACCGCTACAAGTTGTAGATCAAAATTGGACAAATATCTATTGTTCTCTAGTTTTCAATGACTCATCAGGTTTCTTCTTTGATCCATGCTGATAATTAACATCCTATTAAACAATTTCCAGAAATGCCTCATAATAGTAATGGTAATAATATCCTCGCTAGTAACTTGCTTCAAGATACAGACATTGTGATAGGTGGAGGTTAAACCATATGTGAAGTGAAATGTCATCATTTACTAAAAGGTATGTTTTGTTGATGCATTTGTCTGTATCTCACTGCTGATTTATTAAACAGTTATTCGATATTGATTCATATACAAGAATTACATGAAGAATACAACCTCATCAGTAATCTTTGTTCATATATATATGGTCTGGGATACTGTCTGGACGACCGAAACGAAGCAAGTGGCTTCCTCAGTAGACAACTTTTTGAATCTTCAACTTAGATGTCTAATCCACAAAGCACCAGAGAAACCTTGTCAGATGCGATCCTATGGTAGCCAGTGATCGAAATAGATCAGAATGCTAATTACTCTCTCAGGATCCTGGAGCCCATAAACCCCATTGACATTAAGTCATGGTTTTTCTATCTTCTTCGATGGACGCTTCATTTCCACTAACTCAGTTTAAGCGTCGGATATCCTCTTTTCATCCTCCCCGTTTCATATAAATCACCGCCACATGAAGGTGATGAGAAGGAACTTCCCGATGGAAGCTAGAAAGACATATGGGTGAATTCGTCTTTTGAGAAAGAAAGAACAAACTTTCACAACCTTTGACTATACCAAATCATTTGGGAGCATTAATACAACTGAAAAAATGGGAATAGACTTACATTGATGAAGTTGATTATAGATTTCTTTTAAGAGTAGTATAGCACGTTTACGTGGAAGAGGTTTCACACCATATTTAGATAAAGCACGCTAAAACAATAAAAATGAAACAAGAGAATACTGAAAAGTTTGAAATATTTCGAAGAAATAACCGCTCCAACTCCACACTTGAAATGATAAAATTTAAGTTGAATGAAAATAGGTGTTGACTATAAACAACTAATTTACCATGGAATATAGAAAGTGAACAGCTTACGTGTTTAGTGATCCAAGTGTTGGACAGTATATTCATAACCTCATAATTCATTAGTAAGAATATACTTATTTACTTCTTAGACCTGTTACCTCTCATATAGGAACATAGGCCGCTCACCAGCATTCTCCATCCAACTCTGTCCCAGTCAGCCCTTTCCAGTTTTTTCCATCATTTTCGTATTTGCTTCCAATACCCAACGAAGTGTATTCTCTGGTCTTCCTTTTTTTCATTTCCCTTCAGGATTCCAAGCTGGCACTTGCCACCTGATGCAGTTTAATGATTTCCTCAATATGTGTCCTATCCACTTCTAACATCTTGTCCTAATATCCTCCTCAACTGGAAGCCGGTCTGTTCTCTCCTACAGAAGGCTGTTGCTGATGATATCCGGCTGACGGATATTGAGTATCTTGCGTAGACAATTGTTTAGAAATACTTATACTTTCTTGATGATAGTTGTAGTAGTTCGACACGTTTCAGCTCCGTACAGTAGAACTGTCTTGACGTTCGTATTGAAGATGGTGACTTGGATATTGGTTGACAGTTTTGTTTTGAGTTCCATAGATTCTTCAACTGTATGAAGGCGGCTCTTGCTTTGCCAATACTCGCCTTCACGTCTGCATCAGATCCTCCTTAGTCGTCGATGATACTGCCCAGGTACGTGAAGGATTCCACATCTTCCAGAGCTTTTCCATCAGGCGTGATTGGGTTGATGTTCTCCGTGTTGCATTTGAAGATCTTGCTTTTTTCGTTGAGTATGTTGAGACTTTTGGTATAGAGGCCGCTGCTAAACTAGTTGTCTTTATCTGTATTTGTTCATGCGTATGAGATAGAACGGTCAGGTCATCAGCGAAGTCCAAATTTTTTAATTGATTCCGAGCTGTCCATTGTATTCCGCGCTTCCCGTTAGTTGTGGTCTTCATAATCCAGTCAACCACCAGAAGAAAGAGAAAGAGTAAGTAGCACTTCCTGACTAAGGTCCTCCTTCAGAATTCATTCGTCAGCTTTCCTCTATGCACTGCAGTCCATCGCATCAATTCCGTATGATGCTGACGATTTTCTCAGGTACACCATAGTGTCGAAGAAGTTTCCATGATGTTCTCCTATTCACACTGTCAAATGCTTTCTCACAATCAAGGGAGCTGGTGTATAGTGACGAATTCCATTCGATTGATTGTTAAAAAATGATCCGTAGTGTCGCGATTCGGTCTGTGCACAACCGATCCTTAAGGGATCCAGCCTGTTGATCTGGAAGTTGGGTGTCTACTGAGTCTCTCAACCGGTTCAGTAACACTCTGTTGAAAACCTTTCCTGGTACTGACAGTAGTGTGCTGCCTCTGTAGTTCTCACATTTGCTCAGAATTCCTTTCTTTGGAATCTCGGTAGAGTTTTTCTTTCCAGTCCATTGGCACTTGTTCCTCCTCCCAAATCTTTTTGAAAAGAACGCGGAGTGTGTTCGCAGTTACTTCTATGTCTGATTTCAGAGCTTCAGCTGGTATATTGTCAGGTTGTGCTGCTTCCCCGATCTTGATTTTTCTGGTGGCCTTCCTGATTTCTTCAATCGTTGGTGGAGTGACATCTATAGGAAGGTCTGTGGGTGCTGCTTCGATATCTGGTGGATTCAATGGAGTTGATTAATACAAGAGTTCCTTCAAGTGTCTCACCCATCTGTTCGTCTGTCCATGAATTTCAGTGATTGGTTTGGCTTCCTTGTCCTTGACCGGTGTCTCTGGTTTACTATAATTTTTTGTCAGTTACTTCGTTGTCATATTTCTATCTCTTGCAGCTTTTTCCGTTGTCGTTGCTAGCTCTTCAACGTATTTCTGTTTGTCGGCTTTAATGCCCTTCTTCACTTGCTTGCTTGCTTCTGTGGATTCAGTTTGTGGCTTAACTTTCTTTACTCTTGTTCGACTGCTGTTAATTGCTGTCTTCTTGTTCTTCCTTTCTTGAATCTTGCCCAAGATTTCCATAGAGATTCATTCTTTATGATGATGCTTCTTGAGGCCCAGAACCTCCTGACACGTTGAAGTTAATGCTCCTTTGATACCTTTCCAGTTGTCATCCATAGTAGTTTCTTCTTACTTCAGTAGATCCTGTAAGGCTTGGAACCTGTTGTTGAGAATTATCTTGAATTCGTTGAGTTTGCTAGTATCTCGAAGGAAAGTTGTATTGAACCTTTGTAGTGCTCTTTGTCTATTTGTCCAGTTCTCCTTTAGCTTCAGTTTTAAATTGGCTACAACTAGATGGTGATCTGAAGCTATGTCAGCACCTCTCCTGGTTCTCACATCTTCCATTGTCCTTCGGAATTTCTTGTTGATGCGAATATGATCTATTTAGTTTTCTGTGGTGTGGTCCGGTGAGATTCATGTAGCTTTTTGTATACGTTTGTATGGAAATATTGTGCAGCGTATGACCAATTTGTTGAATGCACACAGATTTGCAAATCTTTTCCCATTTTCGTTTCTCTCTTCCAGTCCATTTCGTCCCATGATATCTTCATATCCGGTGTTGTCTACTCCGACTTTGGCGTTTAGATCTCTTATCAGAATGGTGAGGTTCTTTCTTGAGCACTTCGGTATGATCGATTGCAGCCTCTCGTAAAACTGATCTTTATTGTCGTCGTTGCTATCATTATTATGTGGATAATATTGGATAACATTAATTGTAATTCCCTCCTTCTTTGTTTTGAATGATGCTTTGATGATCCTGAGTCCAAGAGATTCTCGTCCCATAAGTGCTTTACGTATTTCTTTGGACAGCTTCAGAGCAACTTCCCGAGTGTATAAAGCATTTTCCTCTTCGTGACCGCAGTACAACACCATCTCTCCTGTAACTAACGTTTTCTGTCCAGCTTGGGTCCAATGGGTTTCTCCAAGTTGTATCTCCTTGTTTCCACAGCTATTTGACTGGTCCTCCTGGTTACCTTCCCATAATGTCTGGACGTTCCAGGTACCTATAAAAGTTGTTGCTCTGGTTGTTAGAAGTGACATCAGTTTCGTGACTCACAAAGAATCTCACCTTTCATCATGAGGCTCAATAATTCATTACTTCAACTAAGAGAGTATGCCTGAACGCCGATTACCACGAAGTACAATGCTAACTAGTGTAGGAGATGGTTGGAAGAAAGTTAGGGGAGGTCAAACCAAAACGTGGCATCAGTGCTTGAAGTCACTAATTCCTTCTTCCTGTACTATGTCCTTATATGCAATCTTTCTTTTATATATTACCACCACTGAATTAACTACTTCTATGAGTCCAGTGTTCATCTTGTTGTGCTAATGAGGTATGGTAAGTTGGACCGATGCTCGTATGTGCCTGGTCCTATGTTGTACCTGACTGAAGAGGGATCTTATCAGGAAAATTACGATAAAGAGGTCATGTAAATTGGGAAAGATAGTCGTGAAGATTAAGATAAATGCAATCAGAAAGAAAATGGGAAGATGGTAAGAGGTTTATAATATTCAGTTTAGGTATCTGGTGATTCAGTTGTAGGTCAAGGTAAACATAGAGGCTGGATATATCGTTTCTTGATATCTATAAGTTCGGTTTTTTGGAGTTGATCCAGATGGCCTCAGCTATTTAGAGTAGGCGTGATTTAGCTCCTTGAGATAGATTTTTTGGAAATTCATATAAAACAGAGAAAGCTTCCTCTATTTTGATATGATGTTCACTATCTACCAAGTAAGAAAGAATAGTACTGTTGATCGATCTAGTAACTTCTTTTCCCAACCATGTACATGTTCACGAACACACAAGGATAAAGCCCTCTGAGTACAGCCATATGTCACTAGCTCCACAGGAGCAGTTGAATTGGTATATATAAATGGAAGAGCCCATCATCGGTAACCTATGTCGTGACAAACACAAACATTCACCATTTTTAACATATAACATTGTCAAATTCATTAATGTCATGCCTTATTTTGGCCTTTGTAAAAGACCACAATAAGTAAGGACTGCAGAGCTTGATGATGATGAAGCTATTACAAACATTCTGCTTTTTTAAAGAAATTTCTTTATTACAAAACAGAAAGTTAGTATAATTTACAAAATTATTATGAATCTAAAGAAGAACTAAATTAAAGTCAGCACAATATTACAGTCAAAAACTACATTCTCTATGTCATGTAGTTTCTATGGAAGAAGATAGATATACATGAAAACAAACCTATTCACTCCCTCAACTCCAGTACACTATGTTCTTCTTTCTGTTCGCAAATATGTCTAACAACCTAATGCATGTGATGAACTAATCTCTTGAATCGAACGGTGAAACATTTTGACTTACCAAGCAGATATATAATTAGGTTACATTACAAGACAGTTGTGAAGACAGTTAAAACAATATATTTCAGGCTAAAAATGTTCAAGCTTATGAAGTTTGTGATTATAAGGTAAACAATAGTTAAAATGGATGTTATCTAATAATATCGTTATTCATTAGATTGTTTTATGTTAGATAGGATAAGTATTGAGGATACAGGACTTAATGAAACCGAGCATGAATAAAACTGATAAGTCAGTCAGTAACAACGTAGAACTTCGTACGTACGTACATCAGTTCTAACTACCATACTACATTAGCACAGAGATGCAGTAGTCGATTCAAATCTCTTAGTGGTAGGGGTAGTAAAAGTATAAGCAGTAATCGGAAAGACTAGGGTTTGAAGATTTATTCAAGGAGTATAATACAGTGAAATAAATTTGGAAAGATAAAAAGAAAAGGGACATGAAGAATTCAGAAGATTGGGATTTGGGAGAACACAAAGAGTGGATGCACCTGCTCACACCATTACAAACGATTTTCAGCCATGTCATTCACGGTCTCTAACCATCGGTTGCTATCATCTCGCGGTCCTCAACCAGGTGGTCTACACCTACCAACATGGCTCAGTTCACTTGTCAGTGACTTCATGGATTTGAATCATGTTTTGGTCTGGCCACCCATAAGCTTTCTTTCAACCTACTCCTACACCATAAAACATCGCACGTCGAGGCAGTCAGTGGTTGAGCATATGTAACTCGTGTCCCAGCCATCTCAACTGACGACGTTTCACGACTTCATCAATTGATTTGCCATCCTTACCTAGTACCCGTTTCCTAACCACTGTGTTACTTACTCGGTGGCCCGAGGATATACGAGAAATGCTTCGAAGACATCTATCATCAAATACTAGTAACCTACGAATAGCTTCTGTTCTTAACGGCCACGTTTCACTACCATAAAGTAGGACGAAACGAACTACTGCGCAGTAAACACGTCCTTTGGATGGTAAACGGATATCTCGTCTACGTCATAAACCACGCAAGTTAGCAAAAGCTAGTCGAGCTTTCTGCATCCGTGCTGAGATTTCGTCACACATTAGAAAACAAGGGATAATGAGACTTCCAAGATAAGTGAAGCGGTCGACATACTCAACTACTTCACTCCCTATCGTTAGTTCGGGTGTCGATGCCACCCAACCCTGAAAAAACATTTTGCATTTCGAGGGGGAGAATCGCATGTCGAACACGATGCATCGTTGCTTATAGTGGTCAGAAGACTCTGGATTTTGTCAGCGTCTTCATCAAGTAAAACTATGTCATCAGCATATCCCAAGTCAACAAGTGAACCTCCTGGTAGAAGTTCAGCCCATGGACATTTAGTTGAGGAAAGTGTTATCTCTAACTTGAATTGAGGAATAATTACAAAACACACAATACGTTACGATCAATATGACAAACAGGTAACGACAGCCAATTTCCAACAAGTAGAATATGATTTCCGGCCTTATTTACTACTGAGTACTAGATAAGTAGGATCATTGACCATTGTATACTCACTATAAGTAATGGGCTATTTTAAAAACATCTAAATAATTGCTGAGTTGAATAGTTATATATATATATATATATATATAAATTGACATGAAAATTAAAACAACCCATATCAATTTAATAAAAGAAAACGAGAATTCAGCGAAGAAATCTTTCTCTTTTCGATAAAATCATTTACTTAAGCTGTACATTCCTTATATATACTTAGATATGGAAAATACATGTCTATAGAAGGATAGAAAGGATTGTATTACAAAAGAAAATGGATTCGACAATAAATAACAAATGAGGTTAACGTACTAATTAAGAGGTAAGGAAGAACAGAATTTATGGATCAGATAATAGTCCAATGGACAGATATAAAGAAAAACGACAAAACAACAAAGATCATAATAATAAATGATTAGAGTTTAAAGTACAAAATAGTAAATTGAAAAAAATATCAATAATAATTAAATAAAAGTGAAGAAAAAAACAACAAAAAACACCAACACAGAAACATATCCATTAAGGGAATTAGGGTCAAGGAAGGACGAGAGGTTGGACAAATCGTTTCTGCATGCAAAGTTCAGACTTGAGTTTGTGGATTGCCAATGCCTTTGAAGTGCATAAAATATTGATTCGAACCCCCCTTTGATCCAGTTCCTTTGACTCTGTAGACTACCTTAAATGAAGAGTCTTTTGGAGCGATGTGTCCACAGTTAATTAAGTGCTCCTGTATCGAACGAGTGATTGTTTTACATTCCCCTTTTAAGAGCCAGACCGTATAATGTTCCGAGATGTGTTTGGATAGTGATCGCTTTGTGAGGCCTATGTAACTTGAACCACATGAGCAAGTAAATTTATATATGCATATTGACGTGGTCAAAAGCCGAAGTTTATCCTCAACACCTCCCACAATGGTAGGTCGGTTAGAGAAAACGATTCGGAGCTTAGTTGGCTGCGTAGAACGCTTTATTCAACGATTTTGAAATCCGTTTATTTAAGACGTCAGCAGCCGTGTCTTTTCAATCGGACATCAAGAAAATGAAATTCATGGTTTGCCTCGGCTTCTAAAGTAAATTGAATTGATGGGTGACAATTATTGAAACTATTCAAAATTCCATTAAGGTCTATATCTTCTTCACAGATAATGAAAGTATCATCCACATATCTCTTATATAAATGAAGTCTCTCAATTATTGGTCGAAGTACCGAATTTTCTAGATTAGCCATGAAACAATCCATCAAGAGAGGACCCAATGGAGAGCCCATTGCAACTCCATCTATTTGTCTATAGAAAACATCATTAAATCTAAATTGCACGTTGAGCGTACATCGTAGTAATAGTTCTTTAAGGTTATGTTTTGGGATATACATATCAAGATTATTGTTTTCAATATAGTCACATAAAAAACAAATGGTTTCTGTGAGAGGGACACTTGTAAAAGGAGAAATGACATCTCATGAGAACATTTTCTTACCGGTTATGTTGATATTTCTAATTGAGTCGACAAAGTCAAAGGAGTCAATTAGACTATTATCTGATCCATAAATTCTGTTCTTCCTTACCTCTTGATTAGTACGTCAACCTCTCGAATCCATTTTGTGACACAATCCTTTCTATCCTTTTATAGACATGTATTTTCCATATCTAACTATATATACGAATGTACAGCTTAAGTAAATGATTTCGTCGAAAGGAGAAAGATTTCTTCGCTGAATTCTATCTTTTTTTTTATATTAAATTGACATAAGTTATAACAGTGAACTTACTTTCAATTCTGGAGTCATCATTTCTTCATATTTAGGTAATGGAGTAAAAGGAATCGGTGTAATGTTGACTGATTCCATCATAGAATTTGGTAAATTTTTATCTGGTGTCAATAATTGATTCGAAACAAATGTTTCTTGACAATTCTCTCTATTAGTAGGTTTAATAAACAAACTCTCATTGATTTCCTGTATCTTATGATTACAATCATCATCATCATCATCATCATCATCATCATCATCATCATCATCATCATCATTAGTATTGTGATTATGGAATGAATTTGTAGTGAAAAAATCAACTACTGAATCAGTTAGAATAGATTTTACTGTATGACAAACAGAATTAGAAGGAATACTATTAATTATACTACTATTTTTAACATCAGTAGTAATAGTAGTTACATTCAATAATGAATTTGAAACTATTTCATCATTATTTGATAAGCGTATACGTTTCATTAAAGGTGATGGAGTTGTTTCATCTTCTAACCAAGAATTATAAAAATGTTTTGGAGTAGTAACTTGTATACCACTATTTAAGACGGGAGATAATTTTGTAGGAGTTGGAGAGTTGTTTAAGAGGAGGAATGATGAATTATTATCCGTTGTTTCTGGCTTAAATGATAAAACAAAACCAAAATAGATAGGTGAGTACCTTTGATAAAAAAGAAGGTTGAATCAACAATGGAAAACTTCAAAACATATACAGTTATCAACTTTATTTCAAGTCAATTACTTTTGCTTCCAAAGTTGTAAGAAAGTGATCAAAATTACTTTTAGTCAATCCGAGATTTTTGGATATTTTTTTCAGGAGATTTAAGAACTGCCCTGTCCGACTAAACGGGACAGTAACAACTCGAAAAGATAGGGATACACGCCGTTGTCTCAGCCTAAGTTCCCACAGACTGTAGCTCAGATGAAGTCAATGATGAATTTTATAGAAAGCTTTTCACCTTCCCCTCAAAAACCAAAACGTTCGGATGTAATAAAGTGCAAGATGACTTTAATGACCAAGTACGTAGAATAATCAAAACCGGAAAGCACTTGGGTGGATCTTACGGTGTCGTGGCCCAGCAAACAAACAATGGGACCGTCTGCCACAACTGTGTTTAGACAATCTCCTATTTCTAGCAAGCACCAACTTAAAGCATAAAAAACATCCCTTAACATGGCGACCCGCTCAAAGGATGAACTCAGATAGACCATAATGCCATCAGCCATCGTTCGATAGGCTCGATAGAAGACTGTCACTCATTCCAGTGCACATGTTAGGACACAGATCATGCTTTAGCTCAAACGCGTATTAGTCCACACCTTTTACCATGTACCATATTGGTGATCGACTCGATCACGAAGATGTCAATATCTGGGGGGAAGCATAGGATACAGTGGACTAGTTAGAATTCTGGTTAGAAAGCATGTGGTTTGTTAAAACATGACTAATTTAAATGTCATCTAAATACTTCCACAATAGATTTATCACATATCAGAAAAATAATGCTTTACACATTGCTAGAAAATTACCTGGATGAATGAAATATCAACATCAACTATAATGATATCAATCAGTTACGTAATAAGTAAAATAGACTTACTTCTGTTGTAAGCTTACTAATTGTTTTAAATGTACCATGAAGGTTACGATCATCAACAGATTGTAAAGATTCTACTTGATTAGAATGATGATAGGTTTCTATATCAATATTATCGATATTCTCATTGATACTGTCATCATCATTATCAGAGAATAAAAATAAATCACGACTAAATTGAGCTGGATTAGAGGTGTATAACTTTGATGGAATCATAGGAGTATTAACTGATATTAATGATGATAACGATGATTGAGTTGTAATTGGGAGAATAGTAGAATCAACAAAGCTAGATGTAGAATTTGTATAGTTGTAATCAGTAGTTGTAATAGGATTAAGATTATGATTTATTTGTAATGAAGAGTTATCAATTTGTGCTGTTTCATTTGATGTTGATGATGTTTGTATTGAAATAACAGAAGGAGTAGGATGAGAATAATCATTAACCGTTTTGTAATCTGTTGATAAATCAGTTGAATGTATGAGGCAACAATCTTCCGTTTTAACAATGTTGAGTTCAGATTTTACACTATTCAGACCCAGCTTAAAAGAGAACAATTATATATATATATATATATATATAGAAATGATGTAATCATATATGTTATGTATATAGCTGAAAATATTACATAAGTTTTGATATGAACTGTTATAAATGATCTTAGAAAATCTAAAGGTCAATAATCATGTTTTAGGTCCGAATACCCTGGTATGGCCGAGAGTGGGGTGGGCCCGCCCTCCCTCTCGAAATGCTCTCACATAGCCACGCGTATATAGCCTCTGTCACGGAAGTCCTACTCACTGCCTTCTCGTAGCGGGGGTGTTGGTTACTAAAGTGAGAAAACGAAAAGTGAATGTCCAGCGCTTTAACCGGATCCCAAGCCAATGGTGCAAATGAGCTCCAGGATCTTGAGGGAACAAATGGCGTACGAACCAATCGTTGGTCACCGGCTTCCATGGGACTGCATCTACTTACGATGCTCCACTGCCTTGTGGGTTAGACCTTTAGGTCAAAGGCTCGAGGTGTGGCCTCCCTCAGAAAACCACTTGCTTCGGTCTGGGCACCCGGGCAATATCACAGCCCTCACACAAACATGATGAACTGTCGATAATTGTGTGGCGCATATAAATTTGCTGCCCGCTTGTACCAATATTTATGTGTTCAAACAAATAAATAAATAAATGACGATTACATTGACAATTTTACTGGTTACTCAACTCTCTTGTACTACCCATTCCTTAAATGTTGAAAAGTTTGGAAGATTTATTTCATTACCAAGCTTGAGATCTATTGATGTATCAGTGAATAATTCTAGAATTCTGAAAAATTTCAAATCATCTGTTAATATTACTAGAAGATTATGAAGTACTTAAGTCCGTTCCGACATATAGTTAGTTAAATCATCAATACAACATAGAAATATAACGTGGTGCAGTAGTAGTCATGTAGCTGGGGTTTTTTGTCATAGAACTTTCTCAAGCTTGATGAAGAATAATGAATTCTCATGGCTTTATTGATTAAGAATGAAATATAAGTAGTTAGAAGAAAATAATTCACTAACAATACAATAATAGTCTAGTTATTCTTCAAATTCCATTGAATTAATTCTTTTACAACATAAATTGTTAAATACAAGATAAGTTCGATTAAATAGAAATAAAACGAGTAAAAAACATTTTGCTTCAATCAATAGTTGTTAATCTTATTTCCTAAACTGTAGTTTTGTGAGACTTAGTGTTAACTAATACTGGAAATTTAGAAATTCAAGTGTACTACTATTACACAAGATAAACATAGTTGTTAAAAAAAACGGTCGAGTAAATTTACCCAATCAGTTCGATCAAAACTGGATTATACATATACAACACAACAATACATACAGCTGACGAGTCCCAAGTAGGACGAAACATGCGTCCTGAATTCCACCACTTAACCCTGTTTAACAAATATCAGAGGTTGGAGAAATTGATATGAACCGATAAAAAACCACTATATGACTCCTCTTTAGAAAAAAACGACTAGTAGAAACGGAGAAATAAGTGGTGTCATCATAGCGAGCAACCAAATAGTATATATATATATATATATATATATATATATATATATATATATATATATATATATATATATATATATATATATATAGCATCTAATCAGTTAGCTAGTAGTATATAAAGGACAAATAACCATCACAAAGTAAATCCACTGTTTGAAAGAGAGCCCTGTTTCCACATCTTTAATTTGAGGGTAATATTGCTCATGACATACTGACGAGATATCTACATAGACCGATCACAGGGACATTGATCGCAATAAGTCTTTGTAAAAACCACTATAAACATTTTCCATATGTGCACATGATCAAGATAAGTTTCCAAGACCAATCGATTTAATACGAGTGTACCAGTTTACCTCCTCATGTGGAGATAGATACGTAGTTCGTTTGTGTAGGTTAATTCTCCATCGCATTTTGTAGCATCTACCAGTATGGTTTGAAAAAGTTCGGAATAAGTCCAATTATGTCACCGATTCTGCAACATGTAGACAAAAGATATTCATCCTTCAATTCACCCTTTGATAGTCAACGATGTAAAGAGATGCATACTTTTACCTGCATTATATTTTTAAAGCTTCGGTTATCCACAATTTAAAACCTGAGTTCTGCGTACAAATATAATCCGTTATATACACATGTATACATTGCTGATGTATTGCTACTACTTACTTTCTGATAACGTTTTGTAATGCTTCTGATGCATGATTAATATATTCAATCGTAAGTCTTGATCGATCTCCACTGTATAATATTTGTAAAAGATTAATAAGTTCACCTTTGGATACATTATGAATTTCAATGATATCACACTATAGAGAAGATAACAGAAAGACAAAAAAATGAGTCGACAACTCTAAATTAAATTAAAATCATACACCTGATAAAGTATACAAATTAATTTTTTAATGGCTCCCAAATGCCTTGGTGGGGAGAGTCACCTCTCCCAATCCAAATGCTCTCACATGGCCACGCTTATACAGCCTTTGCCAGGGAAGTCCTAATCACTACCTTCTCGCAGCATGGGTATTGTTTACGAAATTGAGAAAACGAAAAGCGAATGTCCGGCGCTTTAACCGGGTTGGTGGACATGGAGAGTCACCTAGGAGAGTTGGAGAACCCTGATTCAAAACCAATAGTACACATGGACTCCAGTATCCTGCGGAAAAAATGGCGTATGAACCAATGGTGGGTCACCAGCTACCATGGGACTGCATCTCCTTACGTCGCTCCACTGTTTTTTGGATCAGACCTTTAGGTTGAAGGCTCCAGTTTGGCCCTCTAAGAAAATCACCTACTTCGGTTTGGGCACCAGGCAGTATCACAGCCGTCACACAAATCAAATGAGATTTGTGTGGAGCATATGTATCTGATGCCCTCTTATATTAGTATTTATGTGTTCAAATAAATAATAAAATAAATTGTTTAAAGACTAATCAAATCATTTAACTCAATGGAATGATTCTATGATGATATATGAAGCTCTTTCAAGTTCATTTCATCGGTTAGGTAGGCTGGATAGAATCATGAACAAATATCTCACTGAAGATATTTTATAACCGACGGAATATTAAATTTAAGAGTACTTTTCTTTGTAATATTCTCTGAGTTTTAATATTTCATAAACTGATATTGGCGAGACTATAATTTATGGAAGAACCAATCAGATTTATGATAACATGTCTTGGATTTCGGCACGGAATTCATTTACTCATTTGGCTCAATAGAGTCTTGGCATTATAACTGATGTCAGTTCGTGATGAAAACCTTAAATCTAATTCCTAAACCTAACCATCAACTATAAATCATAATCATTATTCTTCAAACTGCTTTATAACCCTTATTTAGCCCTAGCTCTCAAGGTCTGTTTAGCGTCACTCAAAGGTCGTCTATAAATTATAGTCCCACCATTGATCTCAGTCATTGATGAAAATAATCTTCAAAGACATTTAATCATTAGTATAACATACAAACAAAACTGCTATGTGGATAAACAATCATTGGTATCTCTTCAATACGTGAAATCTAAACTAATCAGATGACAGATAGAAAAGATGGTAACCAGTAAGTTTATAACATGAAGCCCACTTTTAACATAATGAATCAATCGAATCTATAAGGTGAATAGTTTTAACCCTAACCAAGATAATACATCCTCTTTTGATAAGTAAAAGTAATCAGAGGTTTCTTTTTCCTGAGATGTGTTTGGATAGTGATGCTTTGTGAGGCCTATGTAACTTGAACCACAAGAGCAAGTAAATTTATAGATACATATTGATGTAGTCAAAAGCCGAAGTTTATCCTTAACACCTCCCAGAATGGTAGGTCGGTTAGAGAAAACGATTCGGAGCTTAGTTGGCTGCGTAGAACGTTTTATTCAACGATTTTGAAATCCGTTTATTTAAGACGTCAGCAGCCGTGTCTTCTCTAAATTCCATATTCATAAATAAGGTTTTCTTCTCTACTGTCGATGCTTTTTCATGATGAAATCTAGGCGTTAAGTTTCTAACGATGAATCTCGGTGGATAACCATTTCTGATGAGAGTCTGTCGAAGTTGAAATAGTTCCTCATCTATTGTGTCATTCGTACAGATTCGCTTCATCCTAGAGAATAAAGAGTGAATTAAGTTCCTCTTTCTACTCAGTGGGACCCAACTATGGAAATTTGTGTATTGTCCATTCCAGGTAGGTTTTCTAAATATAGACCTTTGTAAACAAAAAACTATCCGTATTCTTTTCAATCGGACATCAAGAAAATGAAATTCATGGTTTGCCTCGGCTTCTAAAGTAAATTGAATTGATGGGTGACAATTATTGAAACTATTCAAAATTCCATTAAGGTCTATATCTTCTTCACAGATAATGAAAGTATCATCCACATATCTCTTATATAAATGAAATCTTTCAATTATTGGTCGAAGTACCGAATATGGAATTTGAATGAGACAAAGCTGTTGGGATCTTAAATAAACGGATTTCAAAATCATTAAATGAACCAATTTGAATTCATTGAATTTAAAGAATATTCAGAAGTATACCATTCAAGTTAAGTTACAGTCAACAAACAGATCTACATAATCGCAATTTATCAATCTATGGTAAAAAATGATTAACCAATCATATGATCTAAAGTCAACTGAACAAAAAAAGTCTACCGTGATATAGGAATCTATGAGGATAATCATTTGAAAATAAGGCCAATAGAGTAGAAGTATACTTTAGGGTCGAGTTTAAAACTGCCGTGACAAGTTTTCAGCCAGTTTTGGCCAATCAGAAAACAGTTTATATAAATAGACAGGTCCTGGGTTCGAATCCCGCGAGGCGGGGTCGTGGATGCGCACTGCTGAAGAGACCCACAATGGGACTGAACGGCCATCCAGTGCTTCCAGTTTTTCCATGGTGGTCTAGTTTTAACTGACTTATGATCTCAACTATTGAGATAGTCTATAGTAAATAAAACGATAATATTAGAAAGTGTGAACCGATTTTACGCAATTAATAAGTTGACTGATATCTCCTTTAGGCTTCTCAGACTTCATATTTCAAAAAAGAAACAGTTTATAAACTCGTTCAAATGAATAATGATTGTACAGACCTTCAAACTCTTGAAGGGAACCAAACAGATTGTTAAGGATCCCTATATTGTTCTTAGTTACAGTTGGGGTTTTTATCATGACCCTATATAAGCTATAAGGTAAAAAGTACTTTACAGTGATATGGATAAATGCATTTCATCAAAAATTATAAGAATCTATGTCTGATTAGTTCATCCATAAAATGTAGCGCCATGAAGGTGTTTTGTTTCAGAATTACCAGATTAGGGTTAGAATCTAGCGATAGTGTCAGTTTGCCTGTTATATACAGTTTAAAGAGAAAAAATGAAGCATTTGTAGACAGCGAAGAAAAAAAAAACAATGTTCCACAATCATTTTAAGCGTTGTGAGGAATGTACAAAGGAAATTTTATTGTTCCACATACATATGATTTGAATTTTGCTTAAAAACCTGTAAATTGCGTTCTCTAATCTAATTGCTCTCGTCTCTAAAGTATACTTTTACAGGCATCAAAACGAACTGTTTAGTGGAAGGAATAAAACTCTCAATTCTACTTGAAACAGATGATAATGTTATTGTCATTCAATGACGATGAAAACTTCACAGTGAAATCATTCAACTCAAATAATCCAATATAATCAAAAACAATCTGTATGGATATTGACTAATAAAACAATGATAATAATCACAAAATCAGTTTTATTTATTTATTTATTTTAACATATAGATATTGGTACAAAGAGGCACCAAATACATATGCGCCACACAAATCTCATTCGATATGTGTGAGGGCTGTGATACTGCACGGGTGCCCAAACCGAAGCAGGTGGTTTTCTGAGGGGGCCACAGCCGGAGCCGTCGACCTGAAGGTCTGATCTACAAGGCAGTGGAGCATCGTGAGGAGATACAGTCCCATGGAAGCCGGTGACCAAAAATTTGTTCATACGCCATTTGTTCCTTCAGGATACTGGAGCCCATGTGCACCATTGGTTTGGAATCCGGTTAAAGCGCCGGACATTCGCTTTTCGTCCTCTCAATTTCGTAAACAACACCCCCGCCAAGAGAAGGCAGTGAGTAGGACTTCCCTGGCAGAGGCTATATACGCGTGGCCATGTGAGAGCATTTCGAGCATCGAATAATAGTAATAAAAATACCGACTAACCGATAAGTAATCTAACTGAACATGCATTAATGGTACTTACTCACTTATGCCTGTTACCCCCCTCATGGAGGAGCATAGGCCACACTACCCATCACTATCCTTCATCAATAATATCTACTTGTATTAATATGGTGTGAGTGAAAGAAAACAAACAGTAATTACATCATAAATCATACCTGTGAATAATCAATAGTTAAATTCCAAGCTGCAAATATAAATTTATGCGCTGGAATTATATCACCTTCATCCAATATTAAACATAAATCTGAGCATAAATTATTCCCAATCATTGATAGTAATGGATTAGAATGAATCTGAAATGAAATCAATCTTCATAAATCAGAAAGTATTATAAAGGTGTTTCATATAAATGTGCAATTGATTCGTCAATAGCAGGCATTTATAACCTAACCAATGAACAAAACCAGGAGTTTCAGGTTTGACAATTAAAACAATGTCAACAGTTGAGACCATGAGTCAATTGAAGCTAGTTGGGTTAAGCGCCTGGCGCGAGACTGAAGGCCCTGTGTCCGAATCCCGCGAGAGGGATCGTGGATGCGCACTGCTGAGGAGTCCCACAATAGGACGAAACGGCCGTCCAGTGCTTCCAGGTTTTCCATGGTGGTCTAGCTTCAAACTGACTCATGATCTCAACTGTTGAAATTACTACAATCTCCACAAAACCCCTTCTGATACAAATTAAATTAATGGTACGAAGTTCATGGTCATTACCAGTGGTTATGGATTTGTATGACTGAGAATTCCCTTATCAGGCTAAACCAAATATCCAATGACTCCTGGCTTTCAATAATTATCTTACCAAAGTTAATCGATTATGTGAAGTTTCAAATATGTGTTGATTTAATTTATACTACTGAAAATATTTAATTAGTATGAAATGATATGATAATAATATATGAAATAAGGTATCGTAATCAGGTGGTAACATCTCTAATAGCAATAAAAAGGATATCTCGAAACATTTCCCTAATGGAAAAAAATTTTGCTTTTGTTGAATCAACACACAAAGTCTTAGAATAAAAATCTTAAATATAATGTTGCATAATTGACTAGAATCACAGCATGACTACGACTGACTTTTATTCCGAACCACGTCTAATAGTGTTTCAAACCACTGTGCTGTAGTACTATCTCAGTGGAGTTGTGAAGGACCGACGGATGCCAAGGTATCATATCAGAAGCTGATTGCCTCACAGCTCTTTTCAACCACGATGAGTCGGACAAAAAATGCAAGACGTGGAATTCCCTATAATAAGACTTTATTACATGTCGAAGCCACTGAAGTCGGTATTTCAAAATTGTGATACCAATTAAATTATCGCCACTATGTCGTAACACACTGCTGAACCTCCAAATTATTAACATGGCATAACCACTGAATGTCGTCGGTGATCGAATAAAGAGTCGCCGGACATCCTTAACTCGGAGAGAACAAGTTTCATTGAGCATAGAGCAAAACTGCTCTGACCTTTCATAATCAGATTAGTATAAGCTTTTCTGACTTTCACTAAACATAGATTGGCCTCTTCAGTTACACTACCTCCCAGATATACGAACTTCCCAACTACTCCTAAATGCTCACTACCAAGATTAAGAGCAGGAACAAACTTCTCACAGTCTTCTAAGTGCAAAATTCACTTATAAGATGCAGAGCACATGGCATACGGTCACTGATTGCCAACTAATTTATTGCATTTTGCATAACTTCAGGATCACCACAAAGTAACAGAATACTATCGACAGAACAAAGTATGAATAGCATTTTTCTAGGCAACAGATCTACACCACTATCACCTACTTCCATCAAAGCTGTTTCTAGAACGTCATCAATGGTCAATTTAGTAAGGGGAGGTGAGAGTGGTGAACTCTGCCAAATCACACTACTGGAATGCAATAGTCTCGTATTTAATAGTCCTTATGATTGATTTTTACACTGGACTCACTGTGTGTGACTGCTTGCAACTGTATTGAATAAAGTATTATCTAGAGTTAATCTGGTTCTCTATTTTGGGTCGTGAATCCTAATTCTGATAAAACTTGATTCGTCTTATTAATTTATAAACGAATTATCGTAATGTACGTGAGAGTGAGAAATGATATTTTAAATATCCGTTATATCATATACCGTTTGTATTCTAAGGACCCTGGAGCCTATGGGCACAATTGGTTTGGAATCAGTGTTTTCCAATTCCCCTACGTGGATCTTCTGTACTTACCAACAGAATATTTGCTTAAGAATGGAAATTCAAACAATATATTATTAAAACAGTATCCAAAACAACTTACATTAGTCATATATGATGAAGATTTGGAAAGGGTATTAGAGAACATTGGTGATAACTCTGAAGTGTCACACTTATCTTCAGGTTTAATTGATTGTTTGGGAGATAATTGTTCACATTCCTAATTAAATAAAATAAGGACACTCAATGTGAGAACTTTTTTCTCGCTTAAACTAAGTAATTTCGTAAAATTTCTCATTTTTACACTTTGCTCCAATTCACCTTTATAAAAGATAACAGTGGAATTCAAGATAAGAGTTTCATCAGGTTTTTGATGCATCAGCTGGATGTTGATATCCACAATTATATTCGAATCTAGGAGTCAGATGTTCTGATAACAGGCACTTTTACAGTGTACTGTATAATTAAATAGAACTGAATATCAATACATGTGGTTTATAGATTGCTATTTCGCTAAACAACAAACATAGTATTTTAAGCTTCAAATTACTAATTGAATTCAGTTATCTTAAATAGAGTAAGAACAAAGATTGGTGCAGAATAGTAGATGGATTCATTTTATTTCGTTAGGTTCTCATCAGCTGCTTACAACCTAAATTATTTGAAATTCAACATTATTACAGATATTGACATATTTATACATAAGAGTGTGATTAAGGATCAATACATGTGTATGATGATGTAGCGAATATTCAGATAGAGTTAATGAGCTCATAAAATGTTTGATTCGAATAAATAAATAAAGTTTGAGAGGGAAAGTTCCAGAACATTGAAATAGTGATTAGAACTCATGAAAATAGATTAATGGTAATAAAGAAAATATGAATTGAAATCAATCAGTTATGTATGATGTAATTTATATTTCAGAAAGAGTTGCAATAATGACGTAATAAATAAATAAATAGGAGCAAATTAATAGAAAGAGTGGGGGTTATTGTTACCAGGGTAAAGAAAGATTTATTACTGTCTCTTTTTGTATACATAGATCTGGTTTTAAACGTTTGATTGCTAACGCTTCAGCGAATTTCAAAAGGTTCGAGTTTGATTGTTTGTTAATCACCTTGAAGGACTTCAGTATATCAGCTTTATGTCCTGTATCAAGGAGATGTCTTGCGATAGCACTGTTGAATGCGTTCAATCCATTTAACCTTAAACTTTTCGGAATATGTTCTTTGAATCGGACGTAGGCTCTCCTTTCTGTTCTACCAATGTAACTGCTTTGGCAGGTACATGTAAATTTGTATACACAGTTGGTGGTAACATGAAAGGGATACCTGTCGACCTTTGATTGTGTCAAAGAACATGTTGTTTTGGACAGGACAATCAATTTCGCTGCAGGATAAGTTCTTGTCAGTGCAGTTTTTAGTCTCATATTGATTGATCCTGTGACATCGTCACCTTTGAATTGAAGTTTAATAAAAATAGGCTTTTTATTTGCTGTAATTTCTTTCGGTTTTTTATCTTCACATTTGCCGTATTTCTCAATAAATTTCAGTGGGTATCCGTTATTCTTTAAACATTTTTTAACATTCATAACTTCCTCTTCTAGTGTATCGGAAGTACATATTCTTTCTGTTCTGTAAAACAGTGTTTTGACCAGTGCCTTTTTGTAACTGATTGGACAAAAGCTATTGAAATTAAGATAACTACCATTCCATGTGTCTTTCTTATAAACTGAACGTTGAACTGTACCATCTTTTCTTCTTTTCATCGCGATATCGAGAAAATGGAACTTGTTTTCTTTTTCATGTTCCATAGTGAAATGGATATTCGGATGTGCTTCGTTGAAAAACTCTAGCAGATTTATTGCATGTTGTTTATTATTACATACGATGAAGGTATCATCAACATACCTCGAATAATACGTCATTTCATCAATCGCTCGTTTGAGTTTGGTTCTTTCGAGGTTAGCCATGAAAATATCTGCTAGGACAGGACCTAACGGACTTCCCATCGCTACACCATCGGTTTGTTTGTATATGATATCGTTGAACTGGAACTGAACATCTTTTGTACAAATGAGTAATAGTCGTTTGAATTCTGGTACTGGTAGAGGTAGGATGTCAGAATGTTGACAAATTATGTCTATGGTCTCAAGAAGTGGTATTTTTGTAAACAAAGATGTTACATCAAAAGAAACCATAAACTTACCAGCAATATTTATGTGATTCATGCTGTCAGCAAATACAAATGAATCCTTTAGTGTATAGGTGGCTAATCGTTGACGCACTGGTTCTAACTTATCTGCCAACCATCGTGCAACTTTGTGGTATGGTGAATTGATCATTGACAAAATAGGTCTAAGAGGATAACCTTGTTTATGTATTTTCGGTAATCCATACATGTGGGGCAAACGAGACCCACGAGGTCGTAGATTATTGTAAGTAGAGTTATCGATCATCTTCTTTTTCAGAAGATCTCTGAGTACTTTGGTGATTCTTTTCTCAATGGAATCAGTTAAGTCTTTGTTACTTTTCTCTAACTTGAATCTCATATGGTCATTCAAGATGGACTTCATCTTAAAAACATAATCTGTTTTGTTCATTAGAACAACACTTGAGCCTTTGTCTGACCGTAATATCATTATATCGTCATTTCGTTTAATATTTCGTAATGCTGTTTGGTGGTCTTTGGATAAAAGCTTAGACTGTGGTGCGGGTGAAACAAGATATTGGTTTGCAATATCGACTAGTTTAGATTTAAACCAGCCTTTCTTTTCTTCACTAACTGGGTGCAACTCTTTAATTTGATCAAATAAATTCTCAACCATGAAGAACCAAGAAGCATTGGACAGCTGCTTCATTCTAGCACAGGACTTCCCTCAGCAATGAGAACTCATGATGCCATCAGGGATTCAACCCAAAAATTTCCAGGCCTTGAAGAGAACGTTCAACCTTCAGACAAGCTGGCTGGCCAACATTTTGAATATTATGTAGTTATCATCTTTGGCTAACTCCGCCTGTAGCTTTTCTAGAGTTACTGCCGGTCCCAAGCCCGGGTAAAGGAGGAGGGTTGGGCATGGGGTTAGCGTCCCCATCCCGTAGAAAACTAACTCGCTAAAAAAACGCTTACCAGAAAAAATAATTCAAACCATTTAAACTCTGCCCTGGGAGTTAGAAGGTCTTCATTTAGAAGAATTATGACGCTTCATGGTGAAAGCCGAGTTCCTTCGGAAGCCACGAGGCCGATGCCCCTTCTAACAACCAGAGCAAAAGTTTTTATAGGTACATGGAACGTTCGAACAATGTGGGAAACCGGGAAGACCAGTCAAATAGCAATGGAAATGAGGAGATACAACTTAGCAGTACTGGGAATCAGCGAAACCCACTGGACCCAAGCTGGACAGAAAAGGCTAGCTACGGGAGAGATGCTGCTATACTCCGGTCACGAAGAGGAAAATGCTCCACACACTCAGGGAGTCGCTCTTATGCTGTCCAAAGTAGCACGAAATGCACTTGTAGGATGGGAATCTCACGGATCCAGAATCATCAAAGCATCATTCAAAACAAAGAAGGAGGGGATCTTAATGAATATTATCCAATGTTATGCACCCACCAATGATAGCAACGACGACATTAAAGATCAGTTCTACGAGCGGCTGCAGTCAATCATAGAGAAATGCCCAAGAAAGGACCTCACCATTCTGATGGGAGATCTAAATGCCAAAGTCGGAATAGACAACACCGGATATGAAGATATTATGGGACGACATGGACTGGGAGAGAGAAACGAAAATGGAGAAAGATTTGCAAATCTGTGTGCATTCAACAAATTGGTCATAGGAGGCACAATATTTCCACACAAACGTATACACAAGGCTACATGGATCTCACCGGACCACACTACAGAGAACCAAATAGATCATATTTGCATCAACAAAAAATTCCGAAGGACAATGGAAGATGTGAGAACCAGGAGAGGTGCTGACGTAGCTTCAGATCACCACCTAGTTGTAGCCAATTTAAAACTGAAGCTAAAGAAGAACTGGACAACTGGACAAACAGCACTACAAAGGTTCAATACAGCCTTCCTTCGAGATACTGACAAACTCAATGAATTCAAGATAGCTCTCAACAACAGGTTCCAAGCCTTACAAGATCTACTGAATGAAGAAGAAACTACTATGGAGGACAACTGGAAAGGCATCAAGGAAGCATTAACTTCAACGTGTCAAGAGGTTCTGGGCCTAAAGAAACACCATCATAAGGAATGGATCTCTATAGAAACACTGGACAAGATCAAAGAAAGGAAGAACAAGAAGGCAGCAATTAACAACAGCCGAACACGAGCAGAGAAAGTCCAAGCACAAGCTGAATACATAGAAGCAAACAAACAAGTGAAGAGGAGCATTAGAGCCGACAAGAAGAAATACGTGGAAGAACTAGCAACGACGGCAGAAAAAGCTGCTAGAGAAGGAAATATGAAACAGCTTTACGATACAACGAAGAAACTAGCAGGGAAATACAGTAAACCAGAGAGGCCGGTCAAAGACAAAGAAGGCAAGCCAATCACTGAAATTCAACAACAGCGGAACAGATGGGTAGAATACTTCGAGGAACTCCTGAATAGGCCGGCTCCAATGAATCCACCGGACATCGAAGCAGCACACGCAGATCTTCCTATAGATGTCAACCCACCAACGACGGAAGAAATCAGAATGGCCGTCAGACAAATCAAGAACGGGAAAGCAGCAGGACCCGACAACATACCAGCTGAAGCACTGAAATCAGACATCGAAGTAACTACAAGCATGCTCCACCTTCTATTCAAAAAGATTTGGGAGGAGGAAGACAAGTGCCGATGGACTGGAAAGAAGGACACCTCGTCAAGATTCCAAAGAAAGGAGATCTGAGCAAACGTGAAAACTAAAGAGGCATTTGACAGTGTAGATAGGATGACGTTATGGAAACTTCTTCGACACTACGGAGTTCCTGAGAAGATTATCAATATTATCCGGAACTCATACAACGGACTACAGTGCAAGTCATGCATGGAGAACAGCTGAGAGATGCATTCCAAGTAAGGACTGGAGTCAGACAAGGCTGTTTACTCTCTCCCTTCCTCTTTCTTCTGGTGGTCGACTGGATTATGAAGACCTCAACATCTGAAGGAAAACACGGAATACAATGGACAACTCAGAATCAATTAGACGATTTGGACTTCGCAGACGACCTAGCCCTCCTATCACGTACACACGAACAGATGCAGATGAAGACAGCCAGTGTAGCAGCAGTCTCTGCATCAGTAGGCCTCAGCATACACAAAGGGAAAACCAAGGTCCTCAAATTCAAAGCGGAGAACAGCAATCCAATCACTCTTGGTGGCGAAACTCTGGAAGATGTAGAGTCCTTCACATACCTAGGGAGCATCATCGATGAACAAGGAGGTTCAGATGCAGACGTAAAGGCAAGGATTGGCAAAGCAAGGGCCGCATTCCTACAATTGAAGAACATATGGAACTCAAAACAACTATCTATCAACCAATATCAAAGTGAGAATCTTCAATACCAACGTCAAGGCAGTTCTACTGTACGGAGCTGAAACTTGGAGAACTACAACAACCACAATCAAGAAAGTACAAGTATTTATAAATAGCTGTCTACGCAAGATACTAAACATCCATTGGCCGGATACCATCAGCAATAACCTTCTATGGGAGAGAACAAACCAACTTCCAGCTGAAGAGGAAATTAGGAAAAGACGATGGAAATGGATAGGACATACATTACGCAAATCGTCAAACTGCATCACGAGGCAAGCCCTAACTTGGAACCCTGAAGGGAAGCGAAAAAGAGGAGGGCCAAAGAACACATTGCGTCGGATAATAGAAGCAGATATGTATAGGATGAATAACAACTGGAAGGAGCTGGAAAGGATTGCCGAGGACAGGGTTGGATGGAGAATGCTGTTGAGTGGCCTATACTCCTTCACGAGGAGTAACAGGCGTAAGTAAGTAAGTAAGTAAGTAAGTAAGCAACTGAACTCAGCTGTGTTTATTCATCAATAGTTTCAATTAAAATTTCGTTCAAGGTTACTCTCGTAATGTTTATATTTACGAATAAAACAGGAAATTCATTTATAATAAACACTTAAACAACATTCCAAAAAACATAAACACATAAGGATAATAACTAAACATAATTTCAATTATTTCCCCACCTTTTTTAAAATATTATCGTAACAATAATCACTATGATCCTCTTTGTATTCATTCATGACAATTACATTAGATTCATAATTCATATTTTTATGAATTGAAACACGACCAGGTATTTGTGACATTGAAATAATATTGGAATTTAAAGGATTTAATGTAGGACTTAATGGTGGGATCAAATTATTGACATAGTATACTTGTGTAATATTATCTAGAAGATTGAAAATAATAACAATAGTAATAATTGTAATAATGTTGCTATGGAAACAATATTGAAGATGTAGTAACTTTCAAAATTATCTTATGGACTGCTATTACATATATTCTTAATGTATAATTATGAAATAACCGGATTTCCATATCTCGGTATTCTCCTTATTATGAGCTTTCAATGGGCCTATTTAAATCATGCTATATGTCTCACGATTGTTAAATTATATTTCAATAACAATTCACTTTTTTCCTACGTTCTCATCCACCTCTGGTTTACTTACTTACTTACTTACGCTTGTTACTCCTAATGGAGCATAGGCCGTCGACCAGCATTCTCCAACCCACTCTGTCTTGGGCCTTCTTTTCTAATTCCATCCAATTCTTGTTCATTTTTCTCATGTCTATCTCCATTTCTCGGCGTAATGTGTTCTTTGGTCTTCCTCTTTTCCTTTGACCTTCAGGATTCCATGTGAGGGCTTGTCTTGTGACGCAGTTGGGTGCTTTCCTCAATGTGTGTCCTATCCACTTCCAGAGCTTCTTCCTGATTTCTTCCTCCGCTGGGATCTGGTTTGTTCTCTCCCACAGTACGTTGTTGCTAATAGTGTCCGGCCAATGGATCTGAAGTATTCTGCGTAGACAATTGTTGATAAACACCTGTATTTTCTGGATGGTGGCTTTTGTAGTTCTCCAGGTTTCTGCCCCATACAGTAGAACTGTCTTGACATTTGTATTGAAAATCCTGACCTTGGTGTTGGTTGAGAGTTGCTTTGAGTTCTAGATGTTCCTCAGTTGTAAATATGCTGCTCTTGCTTTGCCGCACCTTTGGTTTAGTTATACCTATATTGTAATTTTGTGTTCATTTTGATTTGTATGGTAAGGAAATTGATCTATATTATTGTTTGAGTTGATTCCCATAAAATATACTTCTTGCTATATTGTATTATCGGACCGAAGATTGAGTTAGAAGAGTAAATGTTCCAGATTAATATGAGCTAAGAATTATCTGGGTTCAGATTCAAAGTTAACTTTGCCAGTTGGAGTATATAATTCATTGAAGCTTAAGATACTAGTGTTGTGAGTTTATGTCCGGCTTTTTATCACATGACTTATCCACCAATCAAAATACGACTTATACAATCTTAGCACTGTGCCAAACCAATGACGTTCGACCGGTATGAGGAGCCTAGCGTCTTTATTGGTCCTATGTCCACCTAGCCTGTCCACTTGAGTCCAGAACACCAATACCAGCTTCCACTATGCGAATCCAATCGAATCATTTATTTCAGACATACTGGATTTACATATCAGCCAAGCAGACCACAACGCACCATAAAATGGGAAATAACATTTGTACACAATAAAGCCAAAAAGTGGCTGTGAACGTGGGAGGCAGTAAGTAGTCAATAAACTGAAAACAGCTTAAGAACCGTAAATTGTCACGATTGATTGATCACTGAATGGTGACAAATGTCATGTGTGTCAAGTCCTTATTAGTGCAGATCGAATGCTATCGACCATGATACAATGTGACCACCAGTCTAGGTGACTCGACACTGCATGCACTATTTTGAGATTAGACGGTGGTCGAAGCTTATAACAAGGAGAATATAGATATACATAATCTAGTTACTGAATAGTTATACCATAAGAATATATAAATAATAATAGTCCATTAATAAGTCTCAGACGTTACTCGTAATGTAATCTTCACTAGGATATAACAACTAGGTGATAGCTGAAAATAATACAAGTGGAATAAAGAAATATTGCTGGAATTTGGATTAGACACTCTGTAGATATCGACCAATCTACAGTTGAAACTAATAATAATAATAATTTAAAACAATTAGTCCCTTTGATAAATTTCTATAATGTAATGAAAAGAGAAAGATTATCAGAATTATATGATATATTAGCGCAATACACTTTGAACAATCTGATCACACATAATATACTTGTTAAGAACATTTATATATAAAAATAAAAGGTCAATTAGACTGGAAATGGGGGTAAGAGGAGATAAGAATAATAATAAGAGTAGTAATAATAATAAAAGTAATAATTCTCAGAGTTCTGGTAAGAAGCCGTGACCAGTGAAGCTAATCTATGTCAGGTAGAAACAGGTGTCTACCTCAGTACAAAGGAAGATGAATGCGAAACTTCGTGGATTGGTTGAAGTTAGATACTAACACCATTAGATGCCGGCTTAGTGGTCCAGTAGGTTAAGCGTTCGCGCGCGAGACTGAAGGCCCTGTGTCCGAATCCCGCGAGAGGGATCGTCGATGCGCACTGCCACTGAGGAGTCCCACAATAGGACGAAACGACCGTCCAATGCTTCCAGGTTTTCAATGATGGTCTAACATCAATCGGTTCATGATTTCAATCAAAACTTAACAATCTCCACAACCCCTATACTGATGATGATAATAATAATAATAATAATAATAATAATAATAATAATAATAATGTGAACACAATTTGAAACCTAATCACTCTGGATAATAATTCAATATTACCAGGGGTAGGTTTAAGGTGAGAACAAACTGTTTTTGAATACACAAAGGGGGTTTGAATTTTCATATGACTAAAGCTTCAATAAACCTTAGTATACGCTCTTTTACACTTTTCTACAATGCCACAAAAACCGAGTTAAGATCAAGTTTATGGCCTATTTCAATTATATGTTTAGCAATAGAGGATGATGGATGTTTATCCTCTACTCTTATTGGGTCACTTGATTGTATTTGACTCTGCAACCATTTTGGCACATAATAATAATAATAATAATAATAATAATAATAAATAATAATATAATAATAATAATAATAATGTAAGCAAAGATGGATAGTGGCTAGTGGCTAGTAGTTAAATCCAGGATGCGCGGTTTCGTCCTATTTGGGACTCGTCAGCTGGATGTCCTGCATCTCATAATACCAAGTGAATTTAATAAATAATAATAATAATAATATATAATAAATATAATAATAATAATAATATAGAATATTTGCATATGAAAACAATATGAACCTTAATTACCAATATCAGAAGTTTCGTCGATGCTAAATTCCATAGATTGGACTGGGTAATTAAATTACTATTGTTATCATTATTACCATATACTTGTTCAAGCTTGTTAATTCTTTTAACCTGTTATTATTCAACAACAAGATAAAAAGAGATACAAATAAGTGTGAATATTACTAACTAAGATAAAATCTAAATAAAATATATCTAGAGAATTACTACTGGAAAGGTAGTTTTTTTTATAGTTGATTAATCTATTCAACAAGTTAATCATTAGGTTATCGGTTCGAACCCTGTTCTAACTATGTTAGTTTGACAGTAATACCCCCCCACATCTATAAAAATGTGAGATCTAAAATGTATTTATAGTTTCGTTTACGAATTTGCTGAAAGACATCGGAATGTCGGACAAATGAACTCTCCACCCACCAGAGTATCATCGTAGCTATCACTTCGAGCAAAATCCACAGTCAACTGGTGAAAATCACCAAGTGAATAAAATGCTAGCGAATGAAGTGATTTGAAACTGAATCCAGTGTTCAAGCCGATAGTCTTCCATTATGAGAAATGGCAGTAAGAAATGTGAAGACAAATCGAATGTTTCTATTGATCCAGTGACTTGGATTAATTTTAATTTGGTTATTTATTCTCTGAAGAAGCGACTTACACTAAGTCACGAAACGTCAGAAAATCCCATTTTCTTCTCATTGGGATATTACAAATATAATATTTTTTTATGATCCAGTGACAGTTTGTGATTTCGATACAGAACGATGAGCGTTGTCCACATGAATGCGTTCATGATTCTAATTTGAATACAACACATCACTCTATGTTCACAGTATAATCAATCATTTGAGTGAGTGGTGGTGAATTCATGTTCACTAGGGTATGCACTGAATAGATGTGGAAATTACTAATAATTCATACATTACACCACAGTCACTAGTTCTATTTCAAACTATCATGAAGATTTTTGAATAGTTCACGTCTTTGAATTGTATAAGGAGGAAGCAACAGAAAGGAAATATGGAACTTGAGTAGTTAACATGTATCAATATCAACGTTGCACTTGATAGTTTGAAATAAGTTGAGCATTCGATAGAGAGTTGATCATAAGTTTACCAGGTTTACTGTTATATCTGAATGAGTGGAAGAATTGCGTTTCTGGCGTTTCGGGAACGAGCGTGACTCGCCACTTTAGAGTGTATTACTAACCGACATTAAATTAACACAGGTATAAATTGTACATAACACTCTACCAAAAGATAAATTGTGACGATAAACTGAGTAGGACTCACTGTGATCCGTTGTAATCTTGTCACTTACCTATATATAATGAAATCGCTAGTCGGCATAAATAACAATAATAAAATGAAACATCTGACAAACAACTAAGATAAATCATTTTCGTGAATAAGAGTGAAGTAAAATGTAATAATGGAAAATATAATCATTTGGTACATCTAAATCGTGAAGGAGTGGTGAGATTGATGACACAAAATCTCGGTATGAAATCGCCATCCATTTCAATAGACATATTCTCTTAGTTCTTAATTTAGTATATAGAAGACAAATCAATATAGAGTTAACTAGACGTTAATGATCTGAATATACTTCATCAGCGTGTGGAATTAAGGAAGCAGTCATATCTGTTCCAGTCATCATTGTTGTTTCTCAAACTAACCAGTTCATTTAAGACGATGCAGTATATACGAACTGTCAAACACATCAGTTGAATCTTCAGGTGATCTGAAAATATTTAACGTTTTATTGCAGATGACACAAATTGTCTCTTCAACATGATGTATACTCACCCCTCGATTTGTTAGATGATATTTCTACTTTTAATTAGTGAACACTGTAATGATGCATCTAAACTACTTCATTTGAATGGATCAGAATAAGCTTTCCAAATCTTCGTAGTGAATACTCAAACAAATAAAACGTCGCTCAATGCAATTAAAACGACCTCACTTATATAAATGAGTATAATACGTGAGTACCTAACTACCGACAGTGAGACAAGATTTCTCATATCTATCACTGACTAACTTATATGTCAGTAATGATGAGTGTAGTTGTTGTCATTAGTCATGTGATGACTTCCTTATAATGCCCACTTAACTTATCAAGTCTGCAACCCTCAACTAAGCATGAACCAACAATGAGCATTCTCCAGCACACTCTGTTCAAAGCCTCCCATCCTAGTTCTGTCCAATACTGTTCATTCTTATGCTGTTTGTTTCCATTTCTCGGTGTAATGTTACATGGTATTACACTTCTCTTTCGGCATCGAGGATTCCAATTAAGGGCTTGCCTTGTGATGCAGTAGCAGGCATTCCAATCTACTTACACAGCTTCCTCCTGATTTATTCCTCCGCTGGAATCTAGAATGTTCTCACCCACAGTGAATTGCTGCTGATAGTGTCCAGATTACGGATCCGCAGTATGCTGCGTACACAACTGGTAACAAATACTTGTAACTTCCGGTTGATGGTATTTTAGCACTTTCAGATTGCGTCCTATACAGTAGAACTGTCTTAACACTTAAATAACACGTTGTTCCGCTGTACTATTTAAATTTGAATTAATTTTGACTTTGTTTTTTTGTTTTCTGGAGCAGTGGGTTACACGGAGACTTAAAACGTCAGAAAATCTGGTTTTTCTACTTCACAAATATACTTATTTATTTACGATATTCTAAAAATGCGCAATCTCCTCGATATTTTTCAAGTTAAACCTTAGCAATGATACTTGACTTGACAGTCGTTATGAGTTCAAGATGTTCTTCAACTGTAGATGTGCTCGGCCTACTTTGCCGATCCGTGCATTCACAACTCGTACTTTCACCATTCAACATTGTGATATTTTGAGTGAACATAAATCTGATCATTAGTTCAAGCTCACCATCAATCACATAAAATGAGTACGTGTGATCTCATTTTCGGCGATTAGCTTAAATTCATTCACGTTAATCATATGATGTGATCCATTTGATTTCTGGACTAGACATATCATACACGTACTAGTGCAGTGATTTATTCTGAAATCCATAATAGTCTTGTGCATAGTTACACGACGAAAATTTTAAGGTCATTGATTGCAACGTTAAAATGTGTCAGTAAAATCTCACCAGTTTGAGCAAGGTTGTTAAAGAAGAGTCTTAACCAACACAATTTTCAAGCGATAAAATCATTTAATCATTTATCTCACCAGAATAAAGTTACATGTAAACATGTATTGATTTCAGTGAAAATCGAAGAAATACTTTGAATCATACATTCTCAAACGCGTGTTTGCTGAATCTATGCTTCACATTACACATGTTCCTCTTTCTTCTAAAAACATATTTTAATTGCCTCACTCCTGACTTCTTTTTACTTTGACAGGGTTTATCAAAATTATTGATTGATGAGCAATTCAAACACACACTATCGTTGTAGTAATATTTCCTGGACTATTGTACGGATGAACTTGGGTAGGACAATCTCTGTCTTTCGAAAGGCTCTCTCATGGCTACGGATATGCAGCCACTGTCAGAGATTTCTTACTCACTGCGACACTGTGAGAAAGGTGATGTATACGAAATTGAGAGGATGAAAAGCGAATACCCGGTTGTATAACCGGATTGATAGACACGTAGAATTCATCTTGCGCGGTTGAAAACCCTGATTCTAGACCATTAGTTTATGTGATCTTCAGAGTCCTGAGGAAGAAAATGGCGTACGAACCAAGTGTAGGTCACCGTCTACTATGTGACTGCGTCTCTCAACGTTGCTCCGCTGTCATGTGGACTGGAACTCCAAGTCAATGGCTCGGTGAGTGATCATCTTAATAACTTGTCTCGTTTTCAGAAACAATACAGTATCCCAACACAGCACATTGATAATTACCACTGGAAGAATTATTCTTCTTTCAACTTTTATTCTGGCAAACCATATTCACAATCATGTGATAATTTTCGTTTTCATTTGTTTTGTACTACGACAATTATGTACTCCCATTTATTCTAATTTTGTATGTTTCATTTTTCAGCTCATATATAAATATGTAACAAAAGTATATTCGTTATTATCTCTCCACTCAATGTTCAGTTTATTTGCAACTGTCGAGTCCAACCTTGGTATGGATACATTATTACATGCGTGGTTTACTCGAGACCAGTAGTGAAGACTCTAGTGATGTACTAGAAATTCACTCTCCATCTGTCACCTCACAAGGCTATTTTCACAGGCGCTTATCCGAGGGCCCTGTTGCACTGACCGGCTGGATCGCCTTCAACAGTCGTTTACGTGTTGTCCCACAAGAAAGCTTCACTAAACTGAGTCGAAATCGATGTCTTTTCGTCATCCTCACCAACGCTCCGACGGATTGTAGCCTGGATGCGACCAAGGGTGATTGTTACCACTAGTCACCTGATCTACAGAAAGTGCGATCGACAGATAGTGTAGTTTAATCCGGAGACCTAAATGATCTGGTCGGGTGTCTAGGAACAGACGATAGTCATCTAGACAACTGGTGGGCACTTGTTGGTCTTAGGTCAGATAACAGTGACCATCTACTGAAACTGTGTGCAGGCTACAACCTGTTTTGTGTTTGCACTAACTGTTGACACAGTCACCCTTGATGTTCTACCTAGCGTCATCCTCTGTATCTCATTCGGGACGCAGACAATTGCATTGGGTCATATGAGTCTGTGCAAAACTGCTGCTCTGTTTAGAGTACCTATCTAGACTTTGATTACGTTCATGTAGCGTTCATCTGATGTTACGTATCATAAGCCAGAAAGTTATTGTTTTAAAATGATCAATCTCATTAAATTAGTGGGGATTCTGTCCCAACTACATATTAAAAGCATCCAAGATCAAGGCAACCATTTCACCGAAACCTACAAAAAGGCATTGACTAGAAATGAATTACGCCATGAAATTAGAGAGCGAATTCGATTGCGTCTTCGCAAAACGTCCGGCATTTGAGCATACTTGATCAAGGTTCCATCGTAATATTCACAATTTTAGCATATAAGGAGCGTCAAAAGCCAGC